TTTTAACATGAGTCAAAACAACCTAAACAGAATGATTAATTTTCTCAATATATTATTTACTACATGCGTGTACTTGTATAAAATTTTATTATCTTCCTTGACTTTGAAAGAAGTATATAAATGATTATTTTGGAAGGATTAGAATTGAGTGATTAAAATGATAATTACTGGAAAGTCTTCAACTTCCAGAATAATGATAACACACTATGGGAGCAAACGAATTAATATAATGACGGTCATCATGGAAGCATGATCCAATGAGAATAATTAATTAGGAAATAATAATAATAATAAAAAAGGGGGTTTGCAAAAGGTGACAAGAAAATAGAAGGATTGCGTTGAAAGCAAAGGTGTTTGTTAAGGCGATAGATCGGATCACTTGACTTTTTGGTTGGTCACTACAATACGATTCCCATTTGGATGATTGAAGAGATGAAAAAGAAGCAAGGCATGTGCATCCAAATAATCATGTTCTTTACCAAACACTTCGTATCATCAAAAGCTCAAGTCCCCACCATCCCCTCTGTAACTCATTACCACCTAAGTTCTACTTTAATCATTCACCAACGCCAATTCATCTTGTAATAAAATGAATCTGCTGCTTATTAATTTCTTAAACACAGAGAAATTTAATTCATGACATGTTATATTACTTATGCTTGTCAAATGAAGCTTCTTCAACTTCTACAATTGATCCATTTGATAAAGACTTGATTTCTATAATTTATAAGAATGCTAGTTTAAATTTGTAAGTATTTCTATAACACAACTCCCTAAATCATCACCTATGTCTTGATGACCTTGGTGAATGTTTAAGAGCTTTTCCATAATCATTAAGAAAATTTTAAAAATATATAACAAATGCATGTGTATGTTAGAAATTATATTTATTTACATTGTTTATATATTTAATTATATACTCCACAAAAAAGCATTTTTAATCTTTTAACTTTACATAAAGTTTTATTTTAATCTCTTATAAGTTTATAACATATTTTTCAGTCATTTAATTTTAATATCATTAGTTTTATTAATAAAAAATGTTGATGTTGATTTTTTTTTTAATTTTGAAATTTTATATATTAGAGCCGGAGGGACGCTTTTGCATTTATACATGTGTGTGTGTGTGAACATCCAATGGAAATGGCAGAGGAACTAAAAAAAGAACGAACATGAATTATAAGGATGTTGGTACATTATGTGATGCGGTCGCTTAAATTGTTGGATGACCTTCGCTGGAACCACATTTTACGACCCATAAAAGTTAGTAAATCTACGCCTAGGCCCCGGAAAAACCTTCACATTTCTCCCATTTTTTTTGTAGTTTTCTTGATATTTTTTATAAGATCTTAAGTAAATTGTTAATTAAATAGATTGCCTACTTAGCTTATTTCTAAAGAAAACTTTAGATATTAGATCTTAACAAGTGGTCAATTAAACCCATCAAACTTCTTTACTCTGAATTGTTTGACCCTACTCTAATGACTACAGTGTAATTTTAGTACATGGACCAGCTTGGCATATATGGATTCAAGCCTGAAATCTCTCGTTTATTTTATGAACATCTTTTCAAGATTGGCCCTTATTAATCAAGCTTGGTGCCGGGCGTGTAAGTCTTTCTTTATTTTTATTTTTAAAAATTAAATTTTTATATTATAATATTGTATCTTTTTTTAACATACAAACTATAATGTTTAGAAATTTTTGAAAAAGTAATAAAAATTTTAATTTTAAAGTTTAAAAATATATTTTAACATTTAAATTTAATTTTGTAGAGGTGAAATAAAAAAAAAGGATTTACAAGCCCATTTACATTGAAATTTTGCAAGATCAAGCTCTAAAATACAAGTTTAAACGAACGGCTCGTCAACTATTCCAACTTGTATTCTCATCTCTAAATGTATGCATAGTTGTATAAATTACATCTACAACTAAAATAAAATTATTAACAAACCATCCTATTTACGAAGTATGAGCAATGCGATAGGGAGAGAACCTACACTATAATTTATATTTAATAAACACATAAATTATAGAAGTGAATAAATTAGCTCAGATTGTCATGGAGAAACAAGCTACAGCACTCCTAACCAAAAATCATACTCTCGCCAGTTCGATACACTTACAAGGTATCTTTTAAAAAGAATTAATAATTCTTTTTATAAGTCACACTTTATATAAAAAAATTAAATTATTAATGATATGTTTGGCTAAGATTTTTTTTTTCAATTTTATCCCTTCACAATTTTGTATGCACATATGAGAAAAAAAATACTTTTAAAGATAATGCATTTAATAATAATAAATTAAAAATTTTCTTTTTTTAAGACATCATCTCTCATTAATTCTGAATATATATATATATATATATATGAGGTAGTTATATAAAGTGATTTATATACAAGATTGCAAGATGTAATATGTTTACGCACACTTGGGTGACCTTTCACACATTGACATCTCTCACTACCAGGGCCTCATCATATATATATATATATATATATATATATATAGGAAGGCAGCTTCATGTTCACATTACCAACCTTTTCCTCCTGACCCAACGTCTTAGCGTGCAATTCACAAATTACCCCACGCTTAGTTACAATCTTCCGTTTCTTTCATATATATGCTCCTGCGAGATCTGCAACTATATATATGAAGTTTATCTTATACACAATTGCTCATATTTATATTATAGTATGGGCTAAAAATATTTATAATTTATATAACAACTTCATAGCTGTCAAAATTTAGAACCCATTTTTACGGAATGTACTTTATACCAAAGGTTAGGGGGAAAAAAAGCGCACGCCATGATTGGGTTATGATTCTTACTATTCTTGTTTTAATTTGCACACACAGGATGCATGTGGCTCCCTGGTTTGATCCCTTTTCTCAGTCTACCTATATTTGAATTCCTTGGAAGAATTAAATTTCAAATTATTTCAGATAATTAAAAATTAAATACAATAATTATATGAATACAAAACAATATAATTTAATCTAAGCCTTAATATGATCTAGATCTATATTTGTAGTTGAATATAACCCTTTTTTATTTATTAACAAACTCTCAGCCCTTGAGTTGTAATGGTTCACCAGAAAATAACTGTAGACCTGAAAGAAATAAACAAGTAAAGACTTCTTAGTTGACAAATAAAAAGAAGATACCACGTGTCCTCATGATGCATGATTTTGGTGGTTAATTACAGCCTAGCATGCTATCATAATTCAAAGGGGACCTTCACCATTTTCAATCTAACAGCAAATTGAAAAGGAAAAAAAAAAAATACTTCATCTCATGTATATGTCCTCCAAATCATCAACAACATCTCCAACTTATAGCTATAGAAAATGCCAAGAACAATGAAATCTCACCACAGATAATAAACCCATTTTAATCACACTCTTTTCATACCACAATATAGGGAATCTTTTAAAAGTCCTGCTTAATCTAAACTATAGGACGTTAAGCAATTTTTATGAGTAATTTTTGAGTATGTCCAAGTTTATTTATTATTTTTTTGGAAAAAATAATGCATTGAAATTTTGATTATATATTATTATTAAGGAACTTATATATAGTTTTTAATTATGGTATAATTGAAAAGATATATATATATTTTTTAAGAGATTAAGGTTTTACTTAATGTTTTTAAACTGTAACCAATATCTTACTTATACTGTGGTTTAGGGGAAGTAGTACTTAAGATCCGTTCTCCAATGAAGGATTGAAATTAAGATAATTAAGTGGAACCAGGTGAGCTGCAGAGCAACCAATCCAACCCAGAATTAATCAGTCATTAATGAATTACTGGAAAGAACTTGGAGATGAAAAAAGACGTTAGTGACGGAGGCATGCATATGCATATATCGTAATGGAGATTTAAGAACAAACGTGAGAACAGTGGCCTGAAACATTTATGTATACAGCTTGTGATTGATGAGGATGGATGAACTAATTTGAAAGGAATATGGTACCCCACATGTACATGTATATCATTAAATCCTGTAAATAAATAATAATCACCATTCAAGTTTCGGTGTGCTAGCTAGCAGAATAACTTTATTTTGAATGGATTTACTTTAATTTCTGAGGGATTGAAGAGTTTCATTCTTTTTTACCTGAAGATGTTAATGATCAATCTCTTCCCATCAGTGTCCACTTCGATTATCACTGATCAAGATATCAAGATCATCCTAACTTGAAATACAAGAGATCCATGCCGTCTCTCAATCTTTGACGTGGTACTCTCACCCACCTTCAACCATGATCTAGCTAACTAACCTCCATTAAGTAATCCTCATTTTTACTTCAAATTTATACTTTTATTTTATTATTTTTAATTTCTGTTAAATTTATTAAGAAATTAAATGAAGTTTCTTTTCTTGGTAAGTAAAAGTAGTAAAAAGTTCTATCTAAATTGTAGTCATTTAACTCCCCAAAGCTCTAGCTACAGAACTTCCTTAATTTGTTAACTAGGATGTTCCCAAGGTGATCAGTTTAACGATTTTAGAAGATTATTTTCAAATTTATATTTAGGGACAAGATATAACTGTTTATTAACCACTTATTTAAATGGCAAGAACCTCTACCACTCATGTTAACTTTAATTGATTGAGACTGTTATTTCTAGTTTAAAGGAAAAATAATAAATATAAAAAAATAAGAGAGATTGAAGTGTTGCATTATTTAGAATCAAAATAAACTCATCAAATAGCTCCTATATTTATAGGATCAAGAAAGTATATTAAAATGATTTGAAGTTTGAGTATTAAATTGTTATGCATCTCTCATTTGATCTAAAGTTAACTTGGGGGTGTAAATTTTCACTGGAGATTTGTGGGATCCCACAAATTGGGTAAAAGAGGTTTATTACAGTAAAACAACAAGGTAATTAATTGAAACAGGAAAGGAGGCATCTGATATAAGGCCCAGAAAGAGATCCACCTGTCAGTCAGGTGGGAAATGCGAGGCCTAGAGATCAAATCAGACGCTACAGATACGTTGTGTAGCTGTTGGAATATAAGCCCCCTAATCCCTCCCTTTGTTCTTCATCCAAACCATCCCTTCATCCCTTCTCTTCTCCGCTCGTTTCTTACTTTCATCTTCTTCTAGCTGCGCAGGTTAGCCACAGACAGTGCGTAGGATAGCACGTGATGGATCCCAAATCCATTTTCTTCCTCAGTCTCATATGCATTGCCGTCGCCGTCGTCGGAGGCCAATCTCCTCCCACTTCTTCTCCGCCTTCGTCTCCCGCTCCTCCCACTCCCACCGGTACTCCCCCTACCTCCACACAGCCTCCACCCACTCCTCAGGGCTCTCCGCCACCGGTTCAGCAGTCTTCTCCTCCTCCGGCCCAATCATCGCCTCCTCCAGCTCAGTCATCGCCTCCTCCGGCATCGTCTCCTCCGCCGGTTTCCTCACCTCCCGCATCACCTCCCCCTGCGTCTCCTCCTCCTGCCTCTCCTCCTCCGGCCACTCCTCCTCCTGCATCTCCACCTGCGGCCACTCCTCCACCCGCGTCTCCTCCTCCATTCAGTCCCCCACCAGCAACTCCTCCACCAGCAGTTCCTCCGCCGGCTCTCACACCCACGCCACTCTCAGCTCCTCCAGCTACGACTCCGGCTACTACTCCAGCTTCCACTCCGGCTTTGAGCAAGGCTCCGGCACTGTCACCGGGCCCATCGACGGCCTCTGCTCCGGGACCAGGCCTCTCCACTATTTCTCCAGCAGGAAGTGATGCTGTAAGTCTTCGTTTCTTAATTCTTACGCATTTATCTTTCACGACGATATGGTTACACTCATACACGCTCACAGCGTACCCTGTTCTCTAACCGGCGTAAAGTAGCCACAAAAAAGAAAAAAAAAAAAAAAACCTCGTTAACGTTGTGAAGCCAATTCAATTATCAGTCGTTGTTTGAGGCTTAAGCAGATTATATAAATTATGTTTACCAATATATCTATATATATATATGTATGTATGTATATAAATACAAGTCTCAAGTTTAGTGTACGTTCACATCGGTACCGATCCTTTCTTTTAATGTGCTCTTAGTAAAACAATAGATCTGTTTTTTTTTTAACAAAAAAAACCCTGCCAACGAGTAGATCTGTTTATTTATATATAGACATCCTTCAGTTATTAAGTTGTTTATTGAAATCGCTTTAATTCAATAACTGAAACATGTGATTTAATTATAACAAGTAGCTTATATAGTTGCTGATGATTGATTTTAATTTACTTATTAAAATATATATTACTGAAAATTGATATAAAATATAAAATTTATAATTCATTAGATTCTACATAATAGATCAGAAATATTAGTGACGAAAGGTGTACATTTGTAAAAATTGAACAAAGCTCAGGTGCAGCAAACTATTTTTTGGGGGGGGGGGGAGGCTGCACTGTTTATGATTCGTTAATATAATATTTTTTGTAAATTATAATATATTATATATAGATTGATAAGAGTGAGAAATACAAACGTAAAGTGGGGATGATTAAGTAGAAATGTGGAATTATATTTGCAGAGTGGAGCAGACAAGTTGTGGAGGTCGCAGAAGTTGGGAGGAAGCTTGGCATTAGGATGGGCTCTGCTCTCAGTACTATTCTAGACATGCTTTGTGCTCTGCCTCCTCTATTATTTCCCTGATACTATTATTATTATTATTATTATCATTAATTTGTGGGTATCATTTCAGACTACATTTACCTGTATTTGGTTGATTCCATACATTTGGCTTTGCATTCTTTGGAAGATTTTTGAGGCCACCTTTTGTATTTTCGAGGACTTTCCTTTTCATTATTACGTGACTTTCATTGCTTCTTTCTCTTCTTCTTGTTCCTCTGCCATTCCTTTTCTTATCTCTTTTGCCCCTGCAATTTTTTTAAAAAAATTAAATGCAAGCATAATTAATCAACCATGGTCAGATTAAATGGAAGAGACGCAATTAATATCTTTAATATAAAATTGAGCATTTGAATATTATGGATGTGGGGAAAAAAACTACATTTGAAAAGTTACTTTTCATTAAACCCCAGCAAAGCTGAAATTCAGATGAGAAATGGGTATGCTGTGGAACTATAAAAATCTAATCAACTTTTAATTGAATACTATGTTCAATGGAAATCAAAACACATTTACTAAAGTCCAATCCATGGCAAATGTTTGCATAGCTTCTGCCAAAGTTATGCTTTTGATTTTGGCAAATTTATTATTTCCAGACATATACCATTTACGCTCGGAAACTTGTTGAAGAAATGTTTTTATAACTTTTGAGATAAAGTCATTCTCGTATTACTTTAGTTTATTAAATTCACGTTAGATCAAGAGATTTCCAAGCATATAAACGCTAAAATTTATTATAACAAGCAAATTGGATAGGATATTACGTTGTTGAGTTGCGAGTTCATTTCCTCTTTTATTAACTCTTTGAAAAACAAGCTCTAAACTCAAAATTTGGCAAAAATATTCCACAAAATAAACTCTGGTGTTTGCGATTTTTTAAAAACTAGTATCATTATAAGAACTAAATTAATTTTCGGTGTTCCTTGTGTTGTATATAGCGGCATCGTGCGTGATATGGGAGTATTCGTTGACTCTTGAGGTTGACTTTACTCTTGAGAAAATTTAAAATAACTAAAAGACATGTCAATTAAGTTTATTATTATATTTTGTTAGTTTCTCATTATAATTTATTTGAAGTATATACATAAATGGTATTGACAACCTTTTGGCCCAAAAACAATTATATAATAACTTCATGTATCAGGGAAATTCAATTTTATAGGTCTCTTTCATTTATATGCTTTCCTAATTTCTCAATTCTTTTTGATAAAATTCTCAATTCCATTACATCTGAGTTTTTCTCACTGTTAAAAATATATATTATGTGTTATTTGCCTATGTATCATTTTATTCAATATGAAACTTATATATATTTTAACTTGGGGGAATATTGTGGGACAAAAAATCTCCAAAATAATTTGAAAGTTGTTGCTGGTATGAAATATTATTGAGAGTTGTAATGTATGGTAACTTTAGGTACAACAACCAGTAGGGGACACGCTGAAGCATTCAATGAAAAACTAAATTTGAAGTGAAAAAAGTTGTTAGTTTGTTGATATTCTAAGCTCATCCACCAGCACTGACGAACTTTTATGGTCCTTTTGTAATAGTAAATGGAAATTATTAAAATTTTATGTTAATTTATAAATGGGTATGTGAATATCCTTTGTTTTAAGTTTGATTCACCAAAAACTTTTATATTCAAAAAGAATAAAACATTATTTTTTTCACAACAATTTTGAACTAAAGCAACTTTTAAAGTATAAATAAAAAACTAATCCTTTAGTCCTCTTTATAAGATAAGAAAAGATTATCCGTTTTAGTTTTATTTGCAGGACACTTCAATTATTTTTGTATTTATCTTTATTATTTTATTCCTGTTAATTAAATGTTAGAAAAATTATTAAATGTTAGATTATTTTATTTTAAAATATGTATTTTTAATAGATATAAAGTTGAAAACTTATTAAATTTTTAAATAAAGTTGATGAAATTTAATTTTTTTTCTTGGTTCTAATTAAAATGCTAGAAGTGACTGGTAAATAAAACAAGAATAAGCACCTTCTCATGTAATAACCTGCATCTGTGACCTTTTTATTTAATTATAGGTTTTTTCAAATAATTTTTAAATATTTAATTTTATCACGAGGATATGTGCAGTTTTTTGCTTCCCCACCCCTCTCTCTCTTTCGCCTGAGATCATTTCAAATTTTGAACCATTTCATGTGCATCAAGAAGGTTTAAAATCTTAACCCCTATATAAGAGAGAATGACAACTAAATACCAAGGAGAAAAATTTCCAACAATTCCTAAATGTAAAGTTAGTCCCTTGATCCTTAAATAATATTTTAATGTTTTACAATTTTGTTTATCAAATTTGCAACTTTGAACAACATTTTTATTTTGTAGTTTTGTTTATCAAATTTGAAACTTTGAATAACATTTTTTTTTGTTATAGGCAAAAATTTTAAAAGTGTTACCTAATATGAGTATAAGTAATAGTTTTTACATGTTTCTATTGATTCCTACTTTAATAATTTAAGCAATGAATATTTGGTAACATTTAAAAATTATTTCCTAAAGTAGAATTGACAATCTTTTCAGGTGTCATAATAAAATTTTTGAATTGACAACACAAAATTGTTACTTATAAAAGTGCTTTCATTACAACATTTTCAAACTATTTTATATTTAATATGCAAAAAAAATATAAATGTTACCTTTAAATATTTTTAATGACATTTAAGAATTGTTTCTTGTTGTTTTTCTATAAATAAAAAGTTATTTTTATTTTTTCATAATTTTTATATACTTCTATTTATTTATTTTATTATTTATTATTTATTATTTAAAAAAATTTAAAAATTAATTTAACAATCATATCTCGGTATATTTATATAAAATATTTTGCTATATAATATCTAAAAAGCATGTTGGAATAATGGTTAAAGTCACTTATTACTTTCAAGAAGTTAAGGCTTGAACCTTAAGTAGAGAAGAGGATATTAAATTTTGACTATTTAATAATTTCTCAATAACTCTTAAATATTGTCTATTTTATATGATAAGAAACATTTTTAAAATGTTGCCTGTGGTTGGATAATAATTGTAGCATATTCTCATAATATAGGCAACAATTTTATTTTTTAAAATATAGTGATAGAGTGTACAAACTGTTGTGAAAAACTTTTAATTACATTACTTTATGTAACGGTTTAAAAATGTTGCTTAAAAATATAAGTAACAATTTTCATAATCATTGTCGCATTTTTTAAATGTTGCCAAAAAACAAATATGTTGTAGTGTTGTCTTGTTGGATTTGCAATCCGTTGTCCCTATTTTAATAGTAAACACAATTTTTAATGATTAAATTTTTAAAAAATCATGTCGTTATTTGAACACTAATAAGAATTTTCAACTTTATAAAAAATCCTAATGACATATGGCCTTCTTCTTTTTTTTTTTTTAAAGCATGTCCATCTGGGAGAATTGCATGACATTAATTCTATAAACCAAGATATGGGATGAATTCTAGACAAATGAATTATCAGGATTTCTAAGTTAATTAATAGGGAACACAAATCCTAATGATTCCATTTCAACAAGGAATCTGCAACTCCAACTCTTAATTTGCAACTTTGGCCAACTGATTTACAATGTGTTCTGCTTTTTTTTTTATTGATATAAACAACCCTTAATGATTAAATTTGCAAAGGAACATGTCAATACTTGTAAATTTCCAGAGATTTGTAACTTGTCTCCCAATTTTGCAACTTTAGTTCCATATTTTTGCAACTTATTCTCTTAAATTCTCAACTTCATCTACCTTAGCTTAACATTTGATTTCTCAATTTTATTCAGGAACAATAATGCATTACATGAAAATATCAGTTAAAATATGTTAGGACTTTCTTTAAATTAAAATAATCCGATTGGGTCTTAAGTGTTATTCCTCCCAATATACATTGATATATCATGATGCGGATTTATCATACGTGGCCAAGATTCCAAGACCATACAAGTTCAGTTCAGAAAAGACCAAAGGAGTCTAACAAAGACCAAGGCCCATATTGTTGACGAAGAGGGTCCATCTATTTCGGGCTTTTTATATCAACAAGGATTCCGGGAATTTTAGGTTTTTTTTTTTTTCCTGGCCTAAAGGATTCGGCGTGCTCATAAGTCATAATTAAGAAAGTGATAAAAATCTACCCAAAAAAAAAAAAGAACTAAGATTGATTAAAAAAAACGAGAATGCATATGATTTATATTTTCATTTATGGGTTTTTTTAATTATTGAATCACAATTGCATGTAACTTTCATATGTCTTCAGAAGTTGCACACTGACCAGAGACAAGAGAATGAACAGTTTTTAATATTAATAACTAATAATTAATACTAAAACTAGAGCACGGACAAAATTTTGTGTTTGATATAACATAATGGTAATTAGAGTAGATAGAGTAATGTTGTGATAATATAAGATCCAAAGTAAAGAAATAACTGATGACGTGGAACCTCACGTGTTAGTAATGAATGTAGAAGACTGAAATTTGTCCGACGATGCAAATGCCCTTCAGGCTACGGCAGATTGGCTGTGCGCTGGATATCAAATAAGTGGGCTAGCTGTGGTCCAACAACCCATCGCTTATTAATGAGCCCATAACAGATCACACCTCACACCCCATATCTATCCTTTTTTTGCCTCTTTTTTTTTTTAATTAAACATTAAGCCCCCCATCAAACTCCTCACTCCATTTTATCCTAATTATATAACTGAGTTTTAAAATTTTACTTGATCGTGCCTAAACATGAGATAAATTTTTTCACTATTTCCCCTAATTAATTACACTAAGTTCTTGACAAACATTTTATTCTTATATGTTGTTTTTAATCCTATTTATAAGGTAGAGAAATTTTTTTTGTTTTATTTATAAATCACATTACTAAATTTTATCACACACTTTCCCTTTTATCATTCATTGATGTTAGAGAGAGAAAATATATTGTTAAACTATTAGAGGTAAAATTAAAAATTTATTAAATTTTTAAATAGAGTTAATAATGTCTAAAGTTTTTCTCAATACTGGTGAAATATATTTGAAATAACTTATAAATAGAACTAGATAAGTACACTTTATTATGGTCATTAATTTTGGTGAAGGGCAAAATGGAAAAGCCACTATTATTTCAAATTAAAAGATATTATCTATTACCTTTCTAGTCCTATTTATCATTTTCAAGGTGTTTCACTAAAA